AAGATAGGGCAGATGAGGCACTCGCCAGGTAAACAAGAAGAAGACACAGAAGAAGAAGAAGAAGAAGGGCGCGGGGAGATGCGGGCCACGAGATGGGCTCAGTGGTAGGGTGGTGCCTATTTGGTTCTCGACGCCGGGAAGGGACTACCAGCGGTGTCGTCGAGGAGCGGGCAAGTCAACCGACGGTGCTTACCTCACCTAGCAAGCGGCTACGATACCTTCATCAGTTGTACTCCGTTAGTGGTTGGACCCATTCTGTGTGAGGTGCTGCACGCTGGTTACTTTCAGCGCTTGCAACGCGGTCATAAGGGGTAACTGAACGGCCTCAAAGAGGGCACTGCAGTCGACAAAGATAAGACACCCTCCACGATGATATTCGTACACCGCATTATGATCAGTCGGGCCCCGGAGGAGTGCGTTCAATAACTTCATTAATGTCTAGCGGGCTGTCACAGCCAGGCCCAAGGTACTGAGTGCCATGGTTTCACTTCAAGTCTTGTAGGACTGATGACACGGACTTGAGGACGACGTGTGGGGCTATCAACTGATTGATGCCGATAGATGTCTCTGACTGATGGCCACGTAAGGGGCAGTAGAGATCACGCTCATGCTTGGTTTAGCGAGCGATTGACGAGAGCCGTTGTGGCGCAAACCGACTGGACGTGGGATTCGCCTCCAAGGCATGAAACGTTTCAACGTCATGGTAGAGCAGTTCAACCAGAGGCCATGCCCCTCTGTGCTGCCCGCAAGCAAGTCGTGTTCTCAGGTCATGTTTATCCCTGTGCACTATGGGCATTGGAATTCGCTCCAAGCCTTTACATCCAGAAGGCCTCGCCCACAGGCAGGCACTGCTAGGCTGCCGGGTGAAGCCAGGGGTGGTGACCCTCTTGAGATGGATTCGAGAATTTGGCAGCTGTTCCAACAAGCTCACCAGAGATCAAGAAGATCTTGCGGATCGACTGCTGTCGTCGGCTCGAACCCCTGCATGCCGTCTCTCATGGCCTTTTCAAGCAACGAGCCGGCCCGCCCAATGGTACCACCCTCCTTTTTGGCCTGCTCGATCCCCTTGGCGAAAGACGTCTCAAATCTTCGGTTGAAGACGCGCTGTCGCGATTCTCGGTCCTCGTACATCTCGGCTTCTTCGTCCCGTCTGGATCCGAACAGGTTGAGATACGCAAAGGCGTGTGGCGTGCGAGGAACGCGGTAGATGCTGTCCCAGTAGGCATTTGTGTTCCTCTGCGGGGACGCCTCGGCCTTGAGACCGACCTCGACAAGTTTCGTCAAGACATTGAACTGGCGTGTGCGAGACTCGGCATCTTTGGCTTTCAACCCGGCCTTGGGCGCCGCCGTCCAACCCTTGGCGGCAGATACGGACCAGCCCATGAGAGCGCAGAAGCTGTTGATCGTCTTCACCCAGCCGCCAGGGCACGACACGGTCTCCTCCGGGGCGACCGCGAGCAGCCAGTCCAGAACGGAGAGGGAGTCGTTGCTAATGTCGACGGAGAGATGGGTCATGCCGGCCCGAACATACATGACGCACCTGTCGGCGTGATTCCTGATCTCTCCTTCGGGAAGCTCTTGCATCAGCTTCAGCAGCTGAAGGCGTACGGGTCCTGAGGCGTCGGAAATCAGGGGCAACACCTTGGCGAGCACGGTGGCGGTTCCGATGGGGTTGCTGCCGGAAGCAACTTGTGTCGTCAAGTTCGCAAGCGCCTCGCGGCGCGTCTTCTCAGATCGGGACGTCGTTGCGAGCGACAGGCTGTGCTTGAACTGGGCGGCTGTCTCTGGTGCTTCCGTGGAGAGGCTCTGTTGGCCCATGCTGATGGACTTTGACTTGAAACTGGTATCGGTGAAGTTGGCAGGCTTGGCCTTGGCCTTGCCGACCTTCAACTTCGTTTTCTGTTATATCGTCAGTGGAATGGTCGGCGCACGAAGGATGCCCTGCGCTTTTGTCCTGCGGCTTGCCTGTTGAGCTCGTCAAGTCAGTCTCATACCTGGAAGTCCTTCGCCTTCTCCTTCTTCTTCCGCATGCTGGAGCCCATTTTGGCTGGCGTAGATTGATTTGATATATAGAGAGATGAATTTTTAAGACTTTTGGTTTTCAAACGAAATGAAGCTACGGTGAATTGCTGATGCGCTGTTCATCGCCGATCTCCAACAGCTGGTCCTCGGTCCATCACATTGAAAGGATCTTGCATTGAAACTTTTGGCGGTGAGCTGCGGCAGAATATGACCCCAAGGCGGCCCCCACCATTGGGAGCTTGGGCCGGTGTTCTAGGTGTCCCACTACCGCCATACCTCCATCCAGCGTCGCCCGACACATCCATATCGCACCCTGTCCTCCTCTACCGGCCGGTTGCTCCTACTTCAATTCGCCCTGCTGACGCCCAACGGACTTGAAAGAGGACACGAGCTTCTACAATGGTCGACACCCTTACGGCACGCTCCATCCCACCATCCACCCCCTCCTATACGCGGGCTGACCCTTCACAAAACAGACCAACGGCCACGACGCCCTCGACGAGAAACTCACCCGACTCTCCCAGAAGCAAGGCGTCAAGGCGACAGTTGTCCTCGACCGCGCTTCAGGCGCCATACTGCGCACCTCAGGCCAGCTGTCCACGCTGAACGCAGCAGCGGCGGCGCTCGCAGGGTCTGGGCAAGGCAGCGCTGCTGCAGCGCCGGGCGGGGAGGGACAGGCGCTTGACGGCTTCGCGGCGAAAGTCTGGGCCTGGGTGAACGCCTCGGGTAGTTTGGTCGAGGAGCTGGATGCAGAGGTGAGCAGGGCTACTGCATATGTGCCTGACAGAACACTGGAGAGAGAGGAAACTCGTGCTAACAGGAGGACGGCAGGACGAGCTGAAGCTCCTGCGACTAAGGACGAAGAAGCAAGAGTTGGTGATTGTTCCCGACGCGAGATATTTGATGATTGTCGTCCACGATACGCCGCCGGCCTGACGACGCGGATGGCACTGGTCTAGGGACACAAGGAGAGGAATGGAAGTTCGTGCATCGCAATGGCTACCGGCAGGATGCCCTAGGCAAAGGTACGAGCATGGTCACAAATACACAATTACGTTGGCGGGCAGCCTGGGCGTCAGAAGATGGACACCGGCTGGCGGATGCAGGGCTGGCAGCGTAGCGTGACGGACAGGGCACGGCGTCGAGCGAGAGATACCCCATACCAAACTTGCTTTCAAACTCTCCTATTCTGCCGCCTGAAGAACGGCGCGGAAACCCATGTCGAGCGAAGCGAGACCATATAGCGCGCAGCTTTAAGGTCGCATCTTCATGCCGTTGGGCGGTACAATGTGTGGCCACTTCGATTTGCTACATTGTATCGTATCGTACGAACCCAACGGTCGGCGCGGTTGCGCGTCACGAGATGAAGGGTGTGGTGTCGCAGTCTGAATCCTAGCTTGACACTGCCGCTCGTAGGTTTGAGAGTGCTCCGCTGGCGGTGAAGTGCGCCACAGTGCCGTGCCCTCACATGCCGTGTCGTGGTTTTGTGTTTCAGGGGTTGGCGACGTCATGGGTGCTGGTGGGAAATGAGGGAGGGAGTGTGTTAGGTTGATGAAGGGGTCATCTGATACTGGTGGCATCACCCTCCTGCTTCCATTCTTCCAGGCGTCCAGGGCTGAGGATGCTGGTGGTAATGGAGCCGATTTGTCAGGCTCGGGTCAGATTGGCTTGATCCGATCTGAAGGGCGGATGTCTGCCGCTTGGCAAAAGAGGAAGCTGTGACGTCCCCCCGTCCCTTTTGATCGTCGCCTCGCCCGCTGTAGACAGGCAGAAATCCAGTGGTGAGAGGTACCTATGATAGGACGCGGTTGTGCGGGTGCCAGAAGGGCTGAAGAATAAGATGAGTCCAGACAAGCATAGCGACGAGGGGCGGGGCCCTGCAGGAAGAAACGTAGTGTTCATACCGAGCTTTGGCATTGTGTAGACGCACCCACCTGCCTCCCTCATGGGCGTTGGGTAGAGGTGGGTACCTACTATCTGATGCTCAACATGGTGAAAGCCAGATTGACGGAGGTTCGCGGTCCCTGCCCCCTCCAGCGACGTCGCGGAGTCCACAATGTGCTGAAATTAGCATCAGGGCTAGCGAGTTCTAGCGATTTAGGGAGCCAGAGTGGAGGCTCGACAAACACGTCGAGTGCGCTGGAGATTGCAAATGACGAGGATCCGGATCTGAGACGGCTGCGGTGCCCCATGTTCCCACGCTTCCAACACCGTGGCCCCGCGATGCCAAACCAGCGATCCCGAAGCACCTCCCAGGGCCATGATGCGCGATGGACCCGTCCGTCAACGACGATCAGGAGTTGCTGTGTTGCAGACGTCAATTCCCGAACCCGCCAACAATACCGATGCAAATGGCCTAGGCGCCACTGACTAGGTGTGCCGGGGGCGCAGGTGAGGGGGGTTGCAGCGACATGGGTTCGTTGGGTTGTGTTGAAGCTAAGGTTGAGCAAGGCGGAACTGAAAGGATGGACACTTGGTGGTGAGGCACAAAGATCAGGTTTCCAGGTTTCTGCAAGTTTGACTGTGAGCCGCCAACAGGACACAATCAGACAGGCCTGGCTTGCCGATTTGACTTCCCATATGTTTCACGTCCTTGAACCCTTTCTTGCCCCCCCCTCCCCTTCCTTCGCTAAGAGTTTTTCCAAATCTACTCGATATCTTGTTTACATGTTGCCTTTCTCGTCCATTTCTGCATCCTGCTGATCGCTCACCTCTTCGCACCTCGCCCCTCGCACCTCGCACCTCGCACCTCTCGCCTCTCGCCTCTCGCCGGCCAGCGTCGCACCCTACACCACTTACACCAACTGCTAGTCCCCGCACCAGCAACTGTGGCTCACGTACGAGGCAAGCCAAGCGCGAAGCACCCGGCGAGCCACAGATTGGCATGCCGTCCCTCTCGATCCTCCGACGCGGTTCCAGGTCGCAGGCGCAGCGAGGCGGAACGAACGCAGCAAGAGGTGACCTGCCAGTCGACAGTGCCAGCACGGCACCAGCCTCTCCGGACAGCAACAATGATGGCGAGAGCGGTAGCGAGCGTGAGAGACGCGGCACCAAGCGGGAGATCATCCAGGACTTCTTGAACCGAACCAGAGGACGAGCCGGGCCGGGATCCAGCGCTTCGTCCCAGGGCCAGACGCAAGCACGACCAAAAACGGCAGCAGCACAGACGCCGACGCCGACGCCGACGCAGACGCAGACGCAGACTTCGATACAGACTTCGACGACACAGGCACCATCATCCGGCGGCCCAACCAAGGCGTCGGGAAGTGGCGGCCGGCGCGGCCACGGAAGTAAAGGAAATGGCAGTAGCAGTCGAAGTGGGGAGAAACAGAGGAAGGCTCGACCCACCGTAGAGCAACCTGCCGGCCCTGTAAGTTCAGCCCCAGATCCAGATCCAGAACCCGCGCCAGGAGCCAGGAGCCACTTGATGCCCCCACTTCCACGTCAGACGGGCCCCAGTGGAGCCCCGCACTGCCATGCTGGGTAGCACTTCCCCTCCACTACCACCACCACCACCCACTGCCCACTACCACTTCCCACTGCCTATCATCCATCGTCTGTGCCTGCCTACACCCGCACCTGCACCGAAGCTCTAGCCAGGTAGGACAGCAACATGTCTGAGGGCGAGTCGAGGCCGAGTCGAAGGCGAGTCGAGCCACAACACGGCATCGTGCCCGTCTGGTTTCCCCTCACCCCAACCACTACATGGTTCAGCGACCACCACCTTAGCCACGGCGGCACGACGCGGCACCCTCACTTCTGTGCGAGTGAAGAAGTAGTGGAACAGCACCCGGCGCAGACAAAGGATCATCAGACCACCCCTCCGTGCCCGGCTGTTGCCTTCTTGGCACCCATTCCACGCCGTCGATCCCCTGCCACATCTTGCACTTCCCCTCGCGTGACCCTCGACTCCTCCTCAAGTCTGGCTGCCACCATTTCACTCCATCTTCTGCTCAAACAACTACCTCATTTTCCAACCCACAACGCCAGTCGTTCGGTCGTCAACCCATGCCGCACGACGGACAATTGTGTTTGGATCCCCCATTGACTTTCCATCTGCATCGTCTGAACCTTGAAGCGCATTCCAAAAACCATCTAATCCCTAGTTTCAGATCCCGACAGCCCGATCACCACCCAATTCGAACAAACCCCTTCCTTTCCCGCCTCCCCCGGACGCCGAGGACACCAATGGCCCTGGCTCTGGCTCTGGCTCCTCTCCCACCGCAAAACCTGTACTGAGGCTCGGCAAAATCATGGCATGTCTCAGCGAATCTGACGTGGAGAAGCTCTTCTCGGGAGCACCTCAGTTCTTCGCCCGTTCCGAGGGCCACTTTACCGGTGCCCCTCACCCGTCCGTTGCCTTTCCATGGGATGAGACGCTCGAGATTCGAGACCTCTGCGACCGCGTGCAGGTCGAGGATGCCGCCTGGAGCAGCATCACCGCCTGGCCGCACATCACCCGTGATGCCCGCCGCGACTCCCTCGCCCGCCGCGACTCCAATGCCTCGACGTCCAGTGTCAAGAGAAAGCGCGCCCACTTTTACCCGCGATGCCGTGAGCGGCCTAATATGCTCAGCATGCAGGGGCTCGAGAAGGGGACCATGGGCTACCAGGCTGCGCTCGAGATCTCCGTCGCCGATGCCCTGCAGGAGGAGCAGTTTGGATTTGACAGCGTCGGCCACAAGGCCAAAGCCATCATGGAGCAGCGCCAAAGAATGTTGACGTCCAAGGACGGACTGCGTCATCTCGAGGAGTCGGCTATCCTGGACCAGCTCATCAAGAACAGCGACCGGTACATGACGGAACGCATCCACAAGAACATCTCAAGCACCTTGTACAACGAGCTCTTTCTCGGCATCCTGCATCCGCCCACGCGAGTCGTGGATCATCGAGATCCCTATAGCCTCTCCGTCCAGATCCAGGCCCTGCTGAAGGTGCTGGCCACGCCCAACGTGTGGACTGACTTCTCTCACGTCGAGTGGAGGATCCGCTTGGGCCAAATTCTGTGGGGCTCGTATGAGGGGGATGATGTCGAGACGGACGTCGAGATTGAGGATGCCGAGACCAACGACGAGAGGAAGGAGGAGCGCTACTGGCTCCTTTTACAAATTTTGCTTGCCTGCGAGCTCCTGATCCGTCTCGATGCCATCACCGAAGGCGAGGAACTTGGCATCGAATCCATCAAGCCTACCGAAATCCATCGCTTTGAAAAGGATGCAACTCCCTCAGTCAAATGGTCGATGCATTTAGCCCGGGCCTGGCTCGACAACATTCAAGTAGTTGAAACAGAGGTCGACGCTGCTGCTGCTGCAGACAACGAACGGCACCATCTGAGTGGGTGGCTGGCTTCCTTGACGGGCAGAATGACCATGAACCATGGCGGGCACGCGCACGCACATGGGGGCAAGATGACAGTCTATACCATTCAGGGCCGGCATGCTCAGCGTCAGGTTGACGGGCTGACGCACTTCGCAAGGAAGCTGCGGTGGCCGGACGTGGATTCGTATTCATCGCGTATCAAAGAGAATGTGAGCAAGGCCTCGGAAGCGACCGCCATCCACACGCCCGTGGAAGAAACCCCGCTCAGCATTGACACGAAACGATCCTCGTATTTTGGTGGCGGTCGCGCAGAAGCCGACGTGGCTCGCCATCCATCGAGACGACGCAAGATTTCTGCCGCTCTACACCCTTCTGGTTGGCTGTCCAAGTCGTACGTTTCTGGTCTGATGTTGCCTGGCGAAGGCATGTACCACCTGATCATGGCAACGCTACTGGAAAACGATCAGGAAGCCATGGACAAGCTCGGGCCCATGGCCAATCTCTGCGGTGGATTCGTGTACTGCGGCAAGAGTTTCTGGAGCACAGCGTGCGTCGTCGGTCGTGTTCTGGCTGCGGGCAGAGGCTCCGCCGAGTGCATGGGCTGGATCTCGAGCGACATTGTACCTGAAGGCTTGGGTAACGGCTGGCTGAACATTGACGTTGAAGAGATTCCCGAGGACGTCAAGAACACGGGGAAAAAGGCGAGACTCTGGGGCAAGACGTACATTGAGCGACAGTCATCTGTGCTTGGTGACACTGACCCATCGTCCGTTTTGCCTGCCGATTTCATCATTCCCAGCGAAAGCGGCTACAGTGAGCCGCCGCCTGCCATGACCGTCGAGCTCCGATCCCTCAATCTGTACGCGCCTGTGGACTCTGTGAGCACGACGCCCACCGAGTCTGATATGGTGACACCATTTTCTGAGAATGGCGCTCCCCCGAGGCTGCACACATACCCATCATCGATTACCTTCTCGGTCGGCTTGCTGGGAGGTGACACTCAGGAGTATAATTTCGCTCTGTCCAAAGACGTATACTTTGTCACGGCGCACCCATGCGTTCCATCTGCTCGCGTCAAGGTCGTGAGGTCTCCGTCTAGCCCGACTATCCAGCAGATTGATGTCTCGGGAGAGACGTACACAAACAAGGCCTACAGTACCACCCACACTCTTGGTAAGTGCGCCAGCCGCCGCACAGAATGCGAGCAGAGAACTGACCTGGCTAGGCCATCCCCTTCACAAGTACTATACCTACACCCTCATTCATCTGTCGGAACTGCTCACTAGGATCGCGACATCTAGTCTTGAGGAGCTCCTCCTGACGACCGCCTCTGTTCGCCGACCGTCATTAACTCCGGCGACGACAACTGACAGGACTCCTCGTGTCCTTGTCATTGACTGTATCACGGGGGTCATGCAGCCTTCGCATTCGGCATCTGACGCGCCTCTGTCACCCACGTCTCCGGTCATGGAACGTGGACAGGGCAATTTCATGGCCTTGGCAAAAATGCATCTCGAGTCGAGGAGAAGGCAGTTTGGCAGCGATATGGAGATTCTCGTCCGGGCGCTATGTGCGGAGATGGGTTGGAATGCTCTAATATCTCGCCGGCGCCGGGGTTGTCTTGCATGTGCCATTCGAGAAGCCGGAGCATTGGGTTGGAAAGTCATTATTCGGGTTGACTGATTCCCTTTTTTTTCGAGTCCTTTTTTTTTCTTTTTTTTTCTTCGAGGGGAACCAGCGAGTTCTGTACGCATAGCAAAGGTGTACCTTGAGTATGATGTCTACGATGGACGATGAACGATTGTAGGATTCGACTGGAGAGAGGGCAAACCAGGCCGTGTGCGTTCAAGTACGTCTGACTACGTGAGGATATTGAGTATTCATGATCATTTGTTTGTATTCTGTCTTACAACCTTAACCATCATGTACACGTGCTTACCCGATCAATGGAACCTCCGTCACACATGGCCGTGAACAGCGCAAGAGAAGAAGACGAGAAAGAGACAGGCGAGAAAGCGAAAGGCGAGAGCACGCAGCGACGAGCCTCGGGCGACACACAAGCAGGCCTCCCGTCTAGAGGTCGACGGCGAATTGCTTCTCCTCGTCGCCGGGGACGCTCCACTCCCTCCACCCCTCGCGCTCACCGGGCAGCTCGATGGCCTGCCACTCGTCGCGGGTGATGCTGTGCCAGTCGTCGACGGGCAGCCAGCCGATGTAGGCGCGGTCGCCGAAGCCGCCGACCCAGTAGACGGACGTGACGACGAGGCGGGCCCACTCGCTCGCGTGGATGCGGTTGCCGGGAAGCCAGTACTTGGCGTCCGGGTGGGTGCGCACGAAGCAGGCGGCGAGGCGGGCGGCGACGAGGGGGTCGGAGGCTTCGTCGATCTTCTCAAGGTAGCCGATGAGGGAGAGGCGGGGGAGGTTGGCGGCTGAGTAGGGGACCGTGTCGCGGGGGAGGCCGCGGGTGTGCTCGTCGTCGCGGAACTGGCACTTTTCGCCGTCGTCGTACATCGTGCGAGGAAGAGGAGCAGGCAGGGCCCTGGGAGAAGAGGGCCCGCCTGAGCCAGCTGTGGCTGGTGGGACCGTTAGCGTGGCGGTGGCCGTGGCGGTGACGCGCCGCCATCATCATGCGGTTGACGGGCGGGTAGGGGGGCGTCCAGCGCACGGAGACGGAGAGGTTGGAGTCGGCGCGGATGTTCTGGAAGGTCGTGGCGATGTTGATGGCGAGGATGGTGGGGTTGCCTTCGGACTCGCAGTCGGCGACGTAGTCCATCATGCCGATGGGGGGCACCTTCGAGGCCGGCGGGACGTCGCCAGTCTTGAGCCTCGGTCTCGTCGTCGTGGTCACGCGTGGAGGAGGAGGACGAGGAGGGGAAGACGGTGGCGAGATGGCCCAGCTTCGTGAGGGCCAGAATGCGGCGGCCCATGACGGCCGACTCGTGAGCGGTGGGGATACGGTGGTCGGCAGTCTCAACGGTAGGGTTGGCGAAGATGTAGTCTGGGTGAGGCGGAGACATGTCGAGGTCATAGGCGTGGGTGGCTGCCGCAAGGGCACTGATGAGGATGGTGGACTTCATGGCGGAACTCAGAGATGGCCGGGGGAAGGGGGGGGGGTTGTTCAAGGCGGGTGAGAGAGGCTGTAGGCAGACCAGACACGAAAAGAGAGAGACTGAAGTTCTCTGGCGAAGGAGGCTGTAGGTTAAGTAGTAGTTGAGGGGGCAAGGGGTGGGGTTGAGAGGGATCGTATGAGCGATGAACGACTTCGGAGGCGTGAGCCAAGATGCCTGGACTCAGACTAGCAAGAAGAATTCGTCGTCGGCAGAGGCTAGCAGTGGCATGGCAGCCCACAGATGAGTTCAATATCCGCTTTGCATGAGCAGAAAAGTGGTGTGGTGGTAGGGGGAAGAAGCATAAGAGACGAGTCTTGGGGACCGTTGGCGGGGGGGGGCGTCTGACGTTTGGGGTCGAAACCATCGAAACCATGTGAGCAGCTGCCTTCGCCATTTCTTGGCACTCCACTCCGACCCAAGCGGAACCAATGGCCGAGGCGCCAGCCATCAGGAGAAATGATCTTATCAGATGGTTTTCTCGCGCAAACATTGGCGTGTCGTTCCGACGAGGGATCGCCGGGACCCCATAGACAGC